AAAAGTAAGATAGTATTTTCTCTCTGTCTCATAGGAGAATAACAAGGTAATGGTCAATGCAATTATGTCAGCTGCAATAGATAGCATCTCATTTCATGTAATTAGGAATAGCTCTAATAGAAATAAGCATTTATCCTGTGCTAGCATCCAGTATGCCCTAGTCAAGAACAGAGATTGCACCAAGGAGTGCTGTAAACACGTAACGTTAAATACCAGGCCAGCTGAGATGCATCCAGCATCCCTGTGCTCCGTGCCCCAAGGAACTGGGACCCCTGGGTGCAGCTGCTGCTGCTGGAGCCCTTATTTAACCTTCAGATAAGAACCACTAAAGCCAATGCAAATGACTCTTCCTGTGAATTCAGAGGTGAAGAAACATTTCAAAGGACTGCTACCCAAGCAAAGAATAGCACAGTCCTTCCCAAAAGAAATAAAAATGGAACAGTTGGGGGGAAAAAGGGATACTTTCTCCGTATCCGATGAATTTCCATGAATAATAATGAACATGTTGTTTTCATTTTTAAGGTGACAGGAGGAGATGAAGGCCAAGCATAACAAAGAATGAATGGTCAAAGTGGAAAAAGTCTTCCATAATTTTGGCTTCCAAAGTGCTCTGAAAAAGCTCCATATATCTTAGCTCTCGCCCAGCTTTTCAGTTTGTTTCCTGAGCTCGGAGGACAGAATTGATGTGGAGTAGCTCTAAATCAAGAAGGGCTTGTAGTAATGACATACAAATAAAAATGTCCAGTTCAGGTTTAGAAGCTGCTTGAGAGCTCAATGTTGAAGCCAGGAAGCTTTTCCATCAGTAGTCTGTGCTATTGCAGGACTGGTGGATGGAAAAGTTATTTAGCTGAAATCTTTCTTTTCATGTTTTGCAAATGTTGTCATGTAAGGAGATAAAAAAGTGGGGTTTTTTTTTTATGCTCAAGGCACATAAATTAGAAATGCTGTTAACTCATGATAATTAGTAAGAACAAATATGGAAGTATGTAAGCAGAGAAGACGTATTTATGTGATATTTTAGGCCCAAAGAACTCTATATTTATTTAAATTTATTTGAAAGTAATATGTTTCTATTTCGTTTCCCTTTAAAAGAGAAAAAAAGTAAGGTTTCAGATGTCAACATTGTTAACTTGTCTGACTTATTCATTAGATGAATTGGAACAGCATTTAGCTTTGCTAAGGAGTGGGAATTGGCTGCCTTTCTACAATCCCTTAAATCTGGAAAACAGTTGGTCCATTTTGGCTCCTAAATCAAGTTTAGGACTGTACTGTATGGCCAGTGAGGCTAGAATATGGTAAGACAGAGGAAATTATTCTACTTCTTTATTAGCCAGCACATTCACACACACACAGTGGAAGAATCCTAATACTAGTAAGGCAAGTTTCCATTTCCCTTCCATTCCGTTGCATAAGGAGAGTGAAACAGCAAGCAAAATCCAGTTCATTTAAAATCTAATTGTTATTTAGTGGTAAAAATACTAAACGATGAGAAGGTCTTATAAGTTTATTCTCTCAGTCCGTTCCAAATAATTGCTGGAAATGTTTCCCCAGAGCTGCTCAGCAATTGCATAACCTGCCCTCTCCTCTGGGATAACAGTGCATATGTCCTACAGGAAGCCATGGAAAATAGTAGCTTCCTCCTATTTTGATTTGAATGTGATTGAGCATTTGCGTCAATCAAAGTACCCAGCAAAATTTTTGTTCATGTCAGGAAGGCAGCAGCCTTAGATGTTTGTAATACATGGATATTTGTCTGGAAAAGATGATCAAACCTTATCTCCTGAAAAACATAATTTAGGATTTGAGTTTCATATATTAGCAATTAATGTGTAAATCGACCAGTATGCTCAAATTTTTGCTTTCTCTGATTTCCATTGGAAGTCTCAGGATAAGTTGGAAAGCTGTTATCAAGTCTCTCTCTTTTTCTCAGCCTTCTCTCCTTCAAGCTAAGTAGTGCCACATCTTTCAGTTCTTCCTTGAATGTCCTGTTTTCCAGCCCTCTGATAATTCTTTTTCACTTTGGGCATTCCCTAGATTGTCCCTACCATTATTGCTGTGTGTCACCAAACTAGGATCAAGTAATGCAGCTGAACACATATCCATACTCAGTGAAGTGGAAGGGATATTTTAGGTTCCTTGCAAGCTCTTCTCCTGCTAATACAGTCACCTCTGCTCATGTGTTCTTGGCAACAGCCTGATATTGCTGACTTCTGTACTGTCTGTTCCCTTTTTTGATATCCTTATTATGTAGTCAGGTGCTGCGTGTTTGTATGTTTACGTCTACCTAACTGCATTTTCTTGCTCTTGAACATTTTTAATTTCATCCCATGCTTGCAAAACATTTCTCCAATTTATCAAGCTCATGTTGAATTCTATGCCTGGCTTCCACTGTGTACTTGGCCTCACCAAGCTTAGGGCAGATTTGCTGCAGGGCACAGGTCTGGGCAGTGCTGGGGTTTGATGCAGATAGGTGAAACTGTAAGTGGATTTAGGATCAAGGACTGTAGGATCTAAGCAGGGAGATGATGCCATGGTTGTGTCATGTGGGATAACAGCAAAGATAGTGCAATGACTGGTTCATATGGGCTAACTGTGCACCTGTGTAGTTCAGTTCCAGTGACATTCCGCAGATCCTTCTGGGCTTCTGACATGTGGAGAATTCTATCATGTATGCATAGGGTTTGGTGGATTTCCCTTGGGAGGTAATGGGTGAGTAGGAAATGTGTAGAGCACATTTCATTACAGGCCCTTCTCAATGGCATACCAAACCCTGTATTTACATGATACTTCGTTTATTTTTAAAGAGTATCTTAGCAATTACTTAGTAATTTTCAATTAACAGTTGTTCTTATTAGTACTCTTACTAATAATTATGATTTTGAATTCAAGTATTGAGTTTATACTTAGTCTTACAGGTAATTATTGAGCCAAATTATAATGGGCTTTTTTGCTAGTTGAGGTTGTTCAGAGATGAAGACTCAGTGGCAAACTATAGAAATGCAAAATTAGTGAGGTTTCGTTCAAGTACATACCGCTGCAATTTGGGCATTCAAAATTTCTGTACTTGTACACCACAGTTCTCTGGTAAACCTCTCACACGTTAACCTAACAGCTGGAGTTTTTGAAGGCTCCCTATCATCACGAATCAGTATCATTTCTTTCAGTAAAGCCCTTGGTTTTCTGGAGCTGTTTTGTCAGCACATTCTGCCCGTAATTATCTTTCTGAAACCATAGAGAGATGTAGTGACACCAACTCCTAAATCATGGTTTAACCCACCTTGGGCAAGAATGATTTTTGCCTACACTTTTTTCTGAGGATGTGCTTCTGCTTGGGCCTTCTAGTACTGTTCCTTTTTTTTTTCACAGTAACTTTTCACAAATAATTTGTAGCTTGTAAATGAGACTGATTTTCTTTGTTCCTTTAATGAAAAGCTTYGATTTCTCTGTATAAAAATACAGGCCAGACCTTACTAAGTGTTTGTAGTTGGTGTGTATTAAGGGCCTGCCCTTCCCGTTATTTATATCTCTACAACTTTTTGTAATTTGCAGCTTTTTCAATCAATAATTTTATATTTTTGTTTAGATCATTCAGTATGATTTGGGTCCATCTGGTATGGACCAGACTGATAGTATACRTTGCTGGGGCTTTTATCAAAAGTCCTGTAGAGCTGTTAGCCAAAGCCCTAATGAAATCTTACAGGAGTTTACTTTATCAAACTAATTCATGGTCTCATGGGAAAAGAGGAAGGTTTTTTTTATTCCTGACAAAGCTAATTTGCTGTGTTGACTGGCGTTAATTGTACTATCATCCTTTAATTGTACGCTGATTTCTTCCTGTACCAGCCTTTCCATCAGTTTCCCTGACGTTGATGTCAGGCAAAATGATCTGCAATTTCCTTATTAAATAATGGAACAATGCTTGCTTCTCCTCTGTCTTGGGGATCTTATGTGGAATTTCAAGACATGTTTTGCTTAGTTTGGTTCTTTTTAATTTTATCTTACTGAGGTTTAGGATTCATACCCGTTAAACTGGTATTATTTTATTTCTTGATATTTTGGAATCTTAGTAGTGAATATACGAATTTCTGCATTAATAGATCACACGAGGGATATTTTAGTGGCACTGGAATGAAGTGTTATGCAGTGGGCATAAAAGTAATTTTCAGGGCACTTCAGCAATGTACAGATGTATTCTRGGAATGAAGTAAAACATCAATCTTTGATTGTGAAAGAGCAGTAGAAAAATTGAACAGTAAATACAGCAAATAAAGAGATAGTCATGTTTACCATTGATAATATAACCTAAAGGTATAACCACAACATCTTCACTGCTCTGAAGAATGTGAAAGGAAAATGTSTAAGAGATTAGTTTGTGACTAAGGCTCACTGCAGCATGGCTAAGTGAATATAATGGGTTGGCATTGSATTGTAATTATACTCAAGAAGAAAATGTATGAGAACAGTCAGAAAAGAGGTGGTTATATACGAGTGAGTGTCATCCCATTTGATTTTTTTTTGGAGGCGTATAGCATAGTTTTGTATTCTCCTGTAGTTTTCATACCTATCCCTGAAGACATCTGTGGTGTAGGTGTTTGTTCAACCAAGGGAGTCTGTGAGTATTCACAATGTACCATTGCTGATCCCAAATCAGCAGCAATCTCATKGAGAGGTTTTCCCCACAGTGCCTGTTCATGCCATCTCATCTCTTTTTTTGAAAKCTTTGGCTGGTTTGAGCACCTGGAACTTTCAAAACCTTTTGATACTTGGTAACTAGTTTCTCTCTGGTAAATAAAAGAAGAAAATTATTCGAGCAAATTAGTGAAATGGATCTTTAGATTTGCCCATCAAATAGCTTGGGCTCAGCATCACGCTGCCTTCCTGAAAAAATGAAGCTGTATTTCTCGGGAAATGAGTGAGTATTACAAAAACTACTGGGTCCAAGTTCTGATAACTACCCATCTTATCACATTTGGTGCTACATTTCTGAAATTGCTACTCACATTTCCTCACTGGCAGGTTGCACACCGTTAGGTTTCTGAGGCAGGGGTTGTCCATGGCCATGTGCTTCTGCAGCCTTTAGCATAGTTGGTACTTCATGTACTGCTGCAAAACCAATACAAGGGACAAATTAAATTCATTTTTGTTGGAGTCCAAAAACCATTTGCATCGCTTATGAGGTTTTTTAATTAATCATTGTCCCTCCATTAGATTAATGAGGACAGTAATAGTTRTCACTATTCCTGTCCTACAGGTGGCTGTAGCAAAATGGAACGTTTATGGAATTCTACTTAGGTTGTAGAAAAAGTTTCTGTCAYAGCTAAAATGACATCAAATGAGTCACTTGGTTTGAGTATTACACTTTTTCTTCTAAATCCTCAGGGAGATGATTTTTAATCCATCTTTCTACAGCCACAGGGGCTACACACTTACTTCTGGGAGAGACAGAAGGAATAATGTCAACAACGTGGCAGACCTCATTTGGCACCTTTGCTCCCAAATGGATCATRTGAGCATCTGAAAACAGCATGCACCTCTCTGGTGGCTGCCTGATCTGCTGCCCTGAGCTCGTGCTGAAGGAGCATCTCAACCCCAAAAACACGTAGCTGGCTCATCCCTCCCTGTTTGCTGTGGGGCACCCCACTTTGGAGGCCTTCAGTGAAGTTTTTAGATCAGGGGAGAGTCAAACTGTGAGAAGAAAGCTGCCAGAAAGAGTAAGGAATGTGGGGACAGCAGGATGGAAATAAGCACATAATTTTGCTAAACTGTTCCAATAYGGAGCAATATTAAGGAGACTTTTGATGAGCCTAAAACTCCTTCYAGCTGCTTGTGAGCTACCAGCTGTGCCTGACATTCCTGCTTTCTGGCCTCTAAGTCTGCTCTCTTTWTAGAACCTTGAAGAAAAACCAATTTTTATTTGAGCTTATTGAATTTATTTTAATTTTATTTATTYCCAGAGTAAAATGTTTATGTGGAAACAAGTCTGTATGGTGTTCTCATGGCTCAAAGAGTAATATGAGCACCCCTGGGGAAATGAAAAGTGACACAGCATGGGCCAGTCTGCGAGGAAGCTGAGTGCCTGCAGGCTGCAGCCTGGCTTCTCAGTTCATCCTGCACTGAGCACAGGATATATCCCTGCTGTTTTCCTCTTTTCTATGTGAGACTGGGGGACAGAGGTGCAAAATGGACTGCAAAGCAGGATTTTGTGTGGACACGGTCTTTCTCTGCCATTTTGTTTTCCTTTGTTAGTGATGTAGAAGAGCTTCTGTGTTTTGTAAGAATTTTATGTTGCCTAAACTCTGCCAGTCCAGTGACATTAACAGGTAAAAGCATAGACAGAGAACTMGGCTTCAGTACATTTATACAGACTTCAGATTCATTTATACTGTGTTATCTGAATTTGCAGGGTGTGCATTTTGATTATAACTGCCAAAATCTATTTTTTCTTTGACARCTGAATTACGGCTTTTGTGAGGAAACCCTGACTGCTGATTAAATTTGTATTGACATGACTGCATTCTGTATTAACAAGAAAACAGCTACTTCAGGCCCCTGAATCACATCTTTTCCTCTGCTCTTTCTTTAAGGTAAGGGAGGAAACATTTGCCACCACAGATTYTTTCAGTGAAAAGGAAACCGAACATGTCATTGCTAATTGACCAGAATAGCTCTTTTGATAAATTCATGTCTTCTTTCAATCTGCTGTTTGTCTTTCAGATGTGGATTGATTTTGCTTCTAGCATAACTGTCTTAAAGAAAATATTTTTGTTAGTTTATAGGAGATAAATCACAGTTCTTCCCTCTAAGCACTTACTGGTTGACTTAATTTCTTGATCTCTGTGTGTGAATAAAAGTCTGACCTTGTTTTGTACTTAAAAGTAGTTTGGGGAAGTAAGAGAATATGGAGTTGTACAGAATGAAAACCAAAAGCAAAAGAAAAAAAAAACCAGCACAAAACAAATAAGTCTTCTTGGTGATTTTGCATTTTTAGTGATGTTGAAAGATGTTAATTTTATATGGACTAATATTCATTTTAACTGATGTGTGGAGTTTAGTATAACAACCAGGTAAAACAAATGTTGGTGTTGCTGTAATCTTGTAATTCTATTGCTTTCTAGAGTATTAATTTTTTTAGAATGGAGAGTGTATAACAAAAAAAAGATATAAATACATCTGTAGAAACAAAAGGAACAGGAATTGGAGTTCTATGGTGTTTATAATTACTAATGAGGAAAGGAAATAAATAACAGTTGTTCCTAAACAATCTGGTAAAATTGAGTGAATGCTGCAAGTTCTCCCAAGCACTTTCCAGCCATAAAAACTTACAGAAAGTAGATTTTACCACAGATACAGCCCAGCTGAGCATTGACCTGAAACATGCCCAGTACTATTGTTTCTATTTGCTAACAGTCCTCCCTTGCTTCGGGGGTCCCTGCATGCTCTGGCTGTTTATCATTCCAAGTGCCTCAAAGCCCTGGGACAGTTTGGTCACTTCACATCTCAGTAGGAAAGCTTCGTATTCAAACAGCCTCCCTTATTCAAAAACAGAGCTTCTTTCTTCTTCTTCTTGTTCTTTTAATTCCCCCAGGATTCTTGCTGTTTCTGAAGAGTTATGCTCATGAATAGTAATATAAACTAATTTCTGAAGCTCATACTATAAGTTAGTGTTTTTAAAAAGGGGGGTGAAATATCTTTCAATTTGTGTGTTTGTATATTTGTATCTTTGAATATCTGTCAGTTCCCRCAGCTCCAGGACCCTTCAAATTCATTAGGCAGCATGAGGCACATCCAGTGGAAAGAYAAATGTAACTAAACACTGTGAACATCTCAAAAAGAGGCACAATTTTCATGCYTTCACTGAGAGTCGGGGTGGCAGTGACCATCTCAAGAGGGGATGGTACCCAGGCAGCAGAGAATTGCATTCTGCTGGTGCTAAAGCTTCAGCTGGAGCTCTGTACTGTGCCAGGAAGGTGTTCATATGATTCACTTGAAAACCCGGCAGCCACAAAATACAAATARAAAAAATGCAGCTGGATTTACTCTGATGCTCCCAGAGCAAACAGCTCTCTTGCTTCAGGCTACGTTCTGTCTGTGCTCTTGCTCCTTTCCCTCTGGTAACACCAAGGTTACTCATGTCTTACCCACTACTTGCAAGAACAGTGTGGGGGCAGCCCAACTTCCTTACCTTGCTTAACTTTGCCCGCCTAGTTTTAGTTTCTTTTAGAAGGAATTGGAGAATTGTCCCTCTGCATATTGACCTCTCAGCTTCCAACTCAAGAGTAAAGTTCTTTTCTGGTGTCTCTGGTGTTCTCACCACATTTCACCATATTCCATTTTGTTCTTGCTCTTATCGTCACCAGCACTTGAAAATACCTCACACTGTAGTGCAAGAGCAAAATACTGACCCCTATCCACATCTCCCTCAGGAAACTCTTCTATGGCAGCACTTAGAGACACGAGTCAACAGCAACAGAGAGCCCTCATTGTCTGACCACGCACACTGCTGTTGCTCGCCTTTTGATCTCGCTGKGTTCTGCTCACAGTTCTGTACAGCAAAGGTCCTTGGGACACGGACCAGGCCTTTGTGTTTTGTACAGAGTGTTTCTGTGCTCTGGCTCGATGTCTTGATTTTTAAAAGACAACTCTAAGGCTGTCAAAATGTGGTTTATTTAATCAAGAATCTAATTCGGAGATAGCAGGCCCGAAATTCTCTCTGGGTACTGTTCATGCCAACACAGATATGTTCACTAAGATCAAATAAAAAGAGCTCAAGAGTAAATACAGAAGAAAAGGCCTTCAAAATGATGAGAAAAGCTTTTTTAATATTTACATTCTTCCTTGGTGGCAAAATGGGTGATTTGAATTCAACTTAATCTGTTTTTATTTCAAAATTCAGAAAAATACAGCTGATACTTCTTTCCTCAGTGGAGCAGATTAGTCAGTGAGCTAAGCACAACACAATGAAATGAAGCAATTCAAAGAAAACCATTAAAGGTAAAAACATTTGAGTAATCAACAACAATGTTCCCTTCAGAATRGGGCATTACAATGAAGCTAGTTGTGCTGCTGGTCTTGTTGATTTTTACTGACTACAAAGCAGAATAGAAACTTTCTCCATAAATCCCTGGGTGCTAATGCAGGAAGGTGGCGGTGTAATCTGAGCTGTCTGACCCTGCCAAAGGAGCAGACTGTAAGCTCACTGCATAAGGAATTACTAAAAAATTCAATGCTGGGAGGAGAACTTGCTGCTTTGTTAATGTTTATCACATTCAAGAAGTTGAATAACTGAAGCAATATGAKCAGTGCATAAAAGCAGGGGAGTGAGAGGGAACAAAATGGTTTTGGAGTGCTCTACGGCCTCTCTCAGAGAGCCTCTCATTGATCTGCCTTCCAATTCATCCTGTCCARCAGCTGGCATGGCATGTGGTCTGCAGGCAGAGGAGCAGCACCATTCATTCATCCTGCTGTCCAGAGCACAGATGCTTTCCCTGATGTCTGGTAGTTCCCTGCCAGCTTCCAGAGTTTTGGCAGAATYGTTCACAGATGTTTGACACATGGGGATGAGGCAGAAATTCATTGAAAAGGGATATGAAGTTAATGCATAGTTAATACTGTTGTCTTTATCTCTGTAAAGTCTATCTCTGTGAATCTGGTAGGAAATGATACTTGCATATTGCATTAAAATTCCTTCTTGGGAGTTCTAYATCCCACAAGTTAAGGAAAGAAGCTTTTTTATTTGCATGTAAGAGTTTTAATGTCCTTTGCAAGAGATTGATCTGTCAGTGCTGTGGCTGAGATCCTTSTCCACAGAGCAGGGTGTACAGCTCTCTCTTCAAAGAACCTTTTAATGTGCCAGTGCCAGGCAGCTCTGCAGCCCAGAAGTGGGAGGTTGGAGTGGCATCCTTCTCTTCTGCTCAACACCACACTTTGGCTGTGGTTGACTAAACCTCGTTCTAAAAAGCTGTCACCCTCTGGGCAGCCTCAAAGCACACTGCCATGTCCCCATCCCTCCTCAACGTTGCTGTCAGGGTGGTAGAAAATCTCAGGGTTAATGCTGGCTCACGAGAGCGCAGAATGTAGATCAAAGATGTTTGTCTGAGGCCCTGCAGAAGTCAGTAGAAARTGAAGTAGCCCTAAGTATACATTTCTAGGAAAAGTGAAAAGCAAAGTAGTGACAGACAACAAGTATTTTAACAGGGGAATATAATTTTTCCCTTTTCACCACGTGTTATGCAAAGGACGATGGTGAGTGCTCTATTTGCTGGCAATGGARGGAAGTCTGGGGAATCTATTCATTTTCCTCCTCATTTAAACAAACACTCTCATAACCATGACCAAGAAAGGAAGCAAAAGTACTTAGCAAACTTATATTAAGTGTTCTAACTCAATGTTTGTATTTTGCTCCTGAAAAATATACTCACTGTATTGATAGCACAGTAGTGTCCAGCTCCTGCAGTCTATTGTGGGAGAGGACTCAGGGAATATTTTTAACCTTGTATGGAAACTTACTTTTGCTTTCAAAATACCTGCAGCTCAGAACAGTCTGAGCCATTCTGAAGTAAAAACTGTGGCCTTCAAAGAAAGTTCATACAAATCCCACAGGATAATCCTGTCTGGAAGAAAAAGCTACTGGTGCCCAGAGATAGGACTCYCTCAGAGGAAATCTGTCTCTTCTTCTGACTTTCTAGTACTTTGAGAATGTGACTGTAAACCAGAGMTCTGAACACCAAGGATGCTCCTGTAGAAAGATGATTTCTTTTCACCAGATAACTGTCTCAGATTAATGCCAGCTTGCTACATAATGCCACTGCTAGCTAAGATTTTATAGGTTTTCCTTTGCTGGATAATCCTGTGACTTTGCTTACTAACCTGGAACCTTCTGCAGATAAAYACCAATATTTATGAAATTGTACTCCATTCCCATAAGTCTGTATTTTTGGCTGTCAAGCCAGAAGTTCTTACTTTGGGAAATGTAAAGCAGATTTTTAATGTGATTGAAAAGGTAATTTGGTCCTGAGAAACCGAAATATTTAAATTTTGTTTACTTTTTATTCTCCTCTCATCACTGTGAACATTTCATGCAATGGTTCCCTTGTGTATAAGTAAACTTTTGTTAGTTAAGGGTGAGCTGCAACTTGCAAATGYAATCTCTAAAGAAAAAGGAAAATTAATGAAGAACTGATGGGGTTTTTTTAAAGGATGCATCCAAAAGGTTTTGATAAAAATTTTTAATTTGTTTCCATAATTTATCATCCCTACTATCAAAATAATGTYCCTCCTGCCACAGAAGGGATAAGTCATTAACTGCATTGGATGGTAGATGTTGTGGTTTTAATCAACAGTGTTATTGTGTGRCTTGGTTTTCCTCAGGAAAATCCCACATATTTTGCAGAGCTGAAATAAAATGTTTGGCACTTACTAGGTATGTTGAAATAAATCAATCATAATGATGAATAAAGGGTAAAATTGTGAAATTCAGGTATTTCATGGCAAAGAATGGCTCATTGTTTCGTATTTCTGAGCAAAGGACAGGATATGATGCACAGATTAATGCCCATCAGTAACCTCCCTCTTGCAGAATGCAGTA